GAGGTTTCTGTTTTTTTTTTTTTTTTTTTGATTTTCTGAGACTTGCTTTGTGGCCAAGTATGCAATAAATGTTTGGAAATGTTCCATGTTTGCTTCACAGGAGTATGCGTTTTCTAATGTTGGTTGTAGGGATCTAGTTGGAGTCATTGAATCAAGCTTATCGATTGTGTTATTTATGTCTTCTATATATTTTGCCTTTTTGGTCTCTCTGTTACTGAGAAAGATGTATTAAAATCTATTATGATTTCACATTCGTCAGATTTCTCCATGTATTTCTGACAATTTTTGCTTTATATATTTTGAGACTGTATAGATGTGTCTAGAATTGTATTTTCCTGGAGAAGTATTCACTTTATTGTTTTATAGTAATCCTCATTACCCTAAGAATACTTTTAATCTATAATGCATTTTGTCTGATATTTATTTAGCTACACTAACTTTATTTTCAGTTAACCTTTGTCTGATATATCTTTTCCCATCTTTCTACTTTCAAACTTTCTGTATATTTATGTTCCACACGTGTGTTTTATAGGAACATGTAGCTAGATTTTGTTGTTGTTTCATACAATATGACAGTCTCTATCTTAATTGGCAAATAATCCATTTGCATGTGTTGTGGCTATATTTTTATGTAATATATGATAATATATTTTTATTAATTTCTACCATCTTATTTTGTGCTTTCTATTGATTCTACTTTTTTCTGTGCCTTTTTCTCCATCCTTTCCTTCAATTGGATTGATTAATTTTTCTTTATTCACCATTTTAAAATACTGATTTGAAATTTATGGCTTCTTTTTCTATGCTTTTGGGGTTCCTCTTTAAAGTTTTACACACTCCACAAAAATAAGACTTTTGTAAATTAGTTTAATCACATAATTCCATTTCTGTCTTATGTGTAATTGTTGCCTTTTTAGTTAAATCTTGTTTTTAAGCCTTCCCCAACTCTTTCATATATATATATATACATATATATGTATGTATACACACACACATATGTATATATATACATATATGTATATATACGTATATATGTGTATATATGTATATATACATATATACGTATATATACATAATACGTATATGTACATATATATATACACATATATATACGTATATACATGTGTGTATATATACACATATATATATACACATGTATATACGTATATAAACATGTGTATATGTGTGTGTGTGTGTGTGTGTGTGTGTGTGTGTGTATACTATGCTGGTTAGATTTACCAATGTGCTCACTACAGTCATGTGCCACTGTGCCACTTAATGACATTTCGGTCAACGATGGACCACATATATGACAGTGGTCCCATAAGATATAATGGAGCTGAAAAATTCCTATCGCTTAGTGGCATTGTAGCCATTGTAATGTCACCCACGTGTTTGTGGTGATGCTGGTGTAAACAAACCTACTGCACTGCCAGTCATATCAAAGTATAGCACATCCAGTTATGTATAGTGCATAATACTTGATAATGATAATAAACGACTATGTTACTGGTTTAAACGACTATGTTACTGGTTTATGTATTTACTATACTATACCTGTTATCATTAGAGTATACTCTCTGTACTTTTTTTAAAGTTTGCTGTAAAACTATGCTATGTTCCACCAGCAGCAGCCTCATACATCTCGCGTTTACCCCATCTTTTGATTGCATCTATTTCTCTTGTGCTTGATTTAATCTCATGTTGTTTTGTACAATAACATTATGTACAGGCTCGTAGCCTAGGAGCAATAGGCTATACCATATAGCCTAGGAATGTAGTAGGCTACGCCATCTAGGTTTGTATAAGTGCACTCTGTGATGTTCACACAGTGACAAAATCACCCAATGAAGCCTTTCTAGAAATATATCCCCATTGTTAAGTGGCACATGACTGTAGTATCTTTGTTTACTATTTTTTCCTTGTCTCTTCCTCCCTCCTCTGGGTTCAGTGTTTTTCTCTCTGAAGTATGACTTTTTAAAGTTCTTTCAGCAAGAATATGTTAGAAGTAAATGCTTTCAGTTATATGAAAATTTCTTATTTTTTGCTCACTCCTGAATTATATTTAAACTGAGTAGTGAATTCTAAATTATGTTGTTGTCTTTTGCACTTTTCGTATTTTATTCCATTGTCTTCTGACTCTCGTTGCTTCTGTAGAAAAGTCTGCTGTCAGTCTCGTTATTATTCTTCTGCATTTGATTTGTCTTTTCTGTCTGGCTGCTTTTACGATCATCCCTTTGTCTATGGTATTATGAAGTTTCACTGCAATGTGCATAGGTGTGAACTTATTTTTATTTACCTTTCATAAAACTCATGATTCCTAATTCTGAGGTATCATGTCTTTATACAAGTCTGGAAAACGACCATTTGATCATTTAACATTGCCTTTCCCCCTTTATATTTCTTCTTTGTAGAATTCATATGTGAACATGTTCAGAACTCTTCATTCTAT